GTTGGCTTTGGATGTCATTTCTTTGGTTCGAGCTGCACGTATTGCCCTGCGGTTGGTGTCTTCAATGATGATGTGAGTGATCAAGTCAGTCAAGGATAGCTGCTTCTGTTTGTGTTTCAGCTGCTGTTTGTAGTTAGACCATGATTCTGGCAGCTTCTCAATCAGTAATCTAGCAACAAACTCATCTGGAAGGTTGATGTTTCCAGCATGTAGCTCCTCCAACAGCTTATGATATTCGTTGATTTACTCCTTGACATCCTTGTTCTCGGTTATCTCCCATTTGTAGTAGTTGCCCACAACGAACTTTTATTTGCCGGCATCCTCAGCAGTGTACTTTGTCACCAAGGACTCCCATATCTTACAAGCTTCCTTGTAGACACAGTAGACATCGAACAAATTATTAGATAAAGTGTTAATGATAGTGTGAAGGCATATCTTGTTTGCATAAGTCCATGCAACTCTATGGGCTTGATCAGTATCAGCAGGAGGCTCGGATTGAGTAAGAGTAGCAGCCACACCATGCATGTCAAGAATGGTGAAGACTCGTTCTTGCCAGCGTTTGAAGTTCCGGCCATCAAAGACTTCTATCTTCAATATGTTCGGGAACGGCCTGGGTAGGGGGACGGCAACAGCAGTAGGGACATACTGACCTCCAGTTGAACCACTGGGCACACCTTCAGGAGTGACATTCTTAGCATTATTCGTTGCCATTGGATTAAATAGTTCTTAAGATTGTTGGCGGCACCAGCAGAAACGCGAACGGCGAGGTACGAATTGCTCGAGTCGTGGCCGGAAGGACACTGTCCTTAAGAACTATTCCAGCACATCACCCTTGTGCTTTTTTTCACATTGTGATAGCCAGTTTGCAATAGCAACGGTTAAAAATAAGACCTTCAATGGCAAAAGTAAACATATTCGATTGAGACAATATTATAAGGCAGCTGCTCAAAAATGGGGTCATCTCAATCGATTATGTGAAATCAGAGTTAAATCTGGCAGATCCATTAACTAAACCCCTAGGGAAGAAATTTGTTATTAAAACGTCGAGGGGAATGGGACTTAAGCCTATTTGAAATTAACGGTGATGGCAACCTAACCTTTGTGATTAGAGATCCCATGAAAAGGTTCAATGGGTAAGAACAAGTTACTTATTAGTTCTGCTAGTACTGAATTTTGTCCCTTCCTATGGCTTGAGAAAGTGCTAGAATGCATTGAACGGAGGCTAAGCGAAAGCTTTTAATGTTTTCATAGTCCTTACGGATGGTGTATTCATTGCTGATACATTTGATGAAAATACTTATACAAATATGGAGTGGGGCCGCTCCTATGAGATCGTGGCGAAATCTCTAGAGCATTTGTTAAAACCAGGCGTGCGTATGGCCGATAACGTGCAAAATCGTCATTAATAACAGAGACTATGGGGGTATAATTTGATTAATAAGACCTCTAGCACATGCTCTTATTCTTACTTATGTTGATGATTTAATTATGACTGGTAATAATATGAAAACTATAAATGCTATCAAACAATATCTGCATCAAATGTTTAAGATTAAAGATTTGGGTAACTTAAAGTACTTTCTGGGAATAGAGTTAGCCAGATCTGAAAAGGGCATTGTTTTGACACAGTGAAAGTATACCTTAAAATTGATTTCAAATGTAGGCCTAAGTGGTGCAAGGGCTCTTAGCATTCCTATGGAACAGAATGTTTGATTATCTGTTGAAGGTAGAGTCACTGATCAAAGAAAAGAACAGAAAATAGGTAAGATGAAAGGGAAAAATTCAAAACACAAGAAGAATGAAGATCCATTTATAAAAAATCCAGCTTCATTTAGAAGGCTAGTAGGTAGGTTGTCTTATCTTATGACTACCCATCTTGATTTAAGTTTTATTGTGCAGAATTTGAGCTAGTTCATGAGTGCACCAAGAAAGTCTCACATGGAAGCTGTTGTAAGAGTTGTAAGATATCTCAAAGGATGTCCAGGATTAGGCATTTTGTTGTTTGCTTCAAAGGGAAATTCTCTGGAATGCTTTGTGGATTTTGATTAGGGAACTTGTGGAGGTACAAGAAGGTCCGTTACTGGATATGCTGTGAAATTTGCAAGATCCTTGGTTTGTTGGAAAACTTAAAAACAGAACATGATTTCAATATCTTCAGTAGAGGTGGAGTATTGTGCCCTTGGTTCTGCCGTGGCAGAGGTTGTTTGGTGACTAGGATGTTGAGATACATTGGGTTACATGGCATTCAACCTGTACAAGTGTTTTGTGATAGCAAGGCTGCAATTCACATCGCTAATAATCTAATTTTTCATAAAAGAACTAAGCATATAGAGATAGATTGTCATTTTGTCAGAGAAAAGCTACAATAAGGTATCATTAGCTTACAGCATGTTAGAACAAACGAGCAATTGGCTTATGTGTTTACTAAAGCTCTTAGTCATGAGGATCATGAAAAAATGCTATACAAGTTAGGAACCATAAATTTGTATGGGTCCAAACTTGAAGGGGAGTGTGAGAAATAATAGGATATATTGTTTTCTTTTATTATTATTATTATAGAATGTATGTTGGGTCTCAAGTTATGGACTATATAAGCAGACACAATATGCTGTGTATTGCTGACTCAGTTTAGTAATAATACATGTTGATTCTTTCAAGAGTTGATGATCTTCAAGATAACAATTACAATTGGAACAAGGGAATTTAAGTAAAAGAGAAATGATTGCTACATTGCGACAAAAGATAGACCAAATGCAAAGTCAAATTGACCAGTTCTATCAGTTAATCAAGATGAATAATCCATCAAATATGTCCCCTGGTAATCATGATCAATGAGAATCATGAGCTGCTATTAGGATAATATTATGTGTATGATTTGGAGATTCTCAGTCAAACCGTGTGTGGCTTTTGTTATGGTGGACTTAATTAATGTGTGTGCTTTAGACTGTAAAGGAAAATCACGCTCCAATGTGAGAAAAAAATGACAGCGGGGATCCATAACACCGGAAGATTCAATAATACATAAGATAAGATTTAACAATTCAGTTGTGCATACTGATCTTTTGGTTATTCTGAGACCTCAGTGCCATTTTTTTTTTCATCTGGAAGCCCTGAATGTGATTCTCCGGACTATAAAAACATATACTTTTTATTGAGCACTTTGTTTAATATTATGTTAGTTTAATATATTTTTATCTGGTTAAGTCTTTATTTCAATTTAATATCATAACATGATTATTTCTTTATATTTATTAAATTTAAATAATTTAACATAAAACATAAAAAAAATTTGCATGAGTAAATAGGGCTCTCATTTTTCAAATAAGTAGTTGAAAATTCGTAGGCCCTTCGCCCTCATATTCCTGTTCTCAACGTAGAAGAAAAAAAAATTAAAGATAAAATGTGAAATAAAAAAAATAAAATGATGGTAAACTGAAACCTAATTAAGTACAGTTAAAGAATAACAAATATATTTATCTTTGCTTAACGTAAATATTATAAAGAAACTAATTATAATTAATGAGCATTAATTTTAAAATAAACTCATATTCTCATTATTTCTTTTGGAGTTGCCAAACCACCACGTTTCGGTGATAATAAAAGCTTCACCCTTTTAATTAACCTTCTTAACTCAATATCTCTATCAAGACAAAAAGAAAAACCATTGCAAGATACTTAAACTATTCATTCATGTCGTACCATCTCAAATGACTGCAACAAATCAGACATTGATGAGCTTAGCTGGGTGATTCACATCCTTCAAACCCTAGAAGAAGAGCTTCAACAGGAAGATAATGGCGAATTCCTTGTGTCTATCTTCAATGTTCCTAAGCCTCTTATGACTAGTGATCCAGATTCTTATATCCCTAAACAGGTTTTATATATTTTTCTCATAGATCAGTTAGTGGGTAAACATTTTTATTCTTAAGAAATTATTAACTTTTCATGTTATCTTTCGAAAATGCCTCAGTCCTCACTATATGTTTGGTCCCTTGAGTAATTTTCTAATTAGTTTAGCTTCTTTTTTTTTTTTTGGGCTTGTTACATTGCCATGAATTTAACATTAAATTTTACAGATATTACTCCCTAGCCATTTTTAAATTGCTTTTAGGCGGAGTCAAACAGGATTGTTATCATATTTTTAAAATTGAATGGCCATTTAAATCAGTCTAGGAATTGATTCAAGGTTTATTCTGATAATATTAAAAAAAATTGATTAAAGGTTCATTTGTTCGATTTTGGTCAAACTGATGATCAAAATTAATTTAATAAGTTTTAAATTTTATATATGAAAATAACAAGAGGAAATAACAAAACCACTACTATTAAGAACAGAATAGGACATTGATAATAAATTATCATAATACTCATTACTCAAATTTATAATCATTAATAATTATGTACAAGAATGATACGGATATCATACAGCTTTGGAATATTATAAGAAAATATAATTCCAAAATGATGTCATTTTTCATGAACTTTTTTCGGTGAAAAAATGATGCCATTTTTTACTAATAACTAAAAATTAATATGAAAAAAAAATGTTTGAACCAAACAAACTAATTAATAACCCGACCGTTTGAATTTTTTTTTTATAAATATTTTATCACTTCTAAAATTATTTGATTCTGCAGAAGCAATTTTAATTTAAACCGCTTCAAGTTCAATTGAATGGGCCGATTCCACCCGTTTCTGATATAATACTAGATGATAGGAATTAAATTGAAGAAATAGCATCAATTTGTATCAACTAAATTAACTGCTTTGGCATACCTAATAGATTGCAATTGGTCCTTACCATCGTTGGTGTCCAGAACTCATGGATATGGAGAGGCTCAAGCATGCTGCCACAAAAAGACTTTAAAAAAAAAAAAAAGCTTCAAATTGTTAGCCTCAACTTAGAACATCTTGTTGACCAATTGAGAAAATATGAACACAGAATTAGAGCATGCTACCCCAAGTACTTAAATTTCAATAGCGAAACCTTAGTGTGAGTGATGATTATTGATGCCTCCTTCTTGCCTGATTCTCTTCAACAAGGAAGAGTGATCGATTGTGGTGGTGGGAGGAAATCTGGTCAAAATGATCAAACCCTAAGAGACATACTAATGCTTCAGAATCAGATCCCATTATTTGTTTTGAGAATAGTTTTAGAGTTCAAATTGTCATCATCATCAACAGAAGAATCATCAGCAGATGATATGCTTCTTGCTATGTTGATAGGGTTGTTTAAAGCAATTTCACCTTTTGAGAAGACGACTAAAGAAAATCATTATTATTCAGAGATCCAAGTCTCACAATGCGTGCATTTGCTAGATTTCTTGTATAACATAATTGTGCCCAAATCGGAAGATGAACAGCCAAATATGATTGACTTTGGGGACCATAATAACAGTGAAATGGAAGCCAATGAAAAATCATTTGTGACATATGTTAACCAAGCCCTTAGTGAGACTTGGAGGATAGCATCAAAATTGACCAAATCATCAATAAGTTTCGTTCAGCAGGTATTATTCAACTTCTTTTTCTGGTTAAATAATTGATATAGGTGTATCAACTTATGTCATCGGATTTTCTAATTGTGATATCATTTTGGCTCCAGGAAAAATATACCTCTTGTTTAGGATTCCCTTGCATTTAGATCATTTTTTAACTATGAATTTAATGTCATTTTGTAAAACAAACATATATGATCAGTAGAGTCAATAATTTGAGTAGGTTTAAAATAATCAAACATATAAAACAAGCCTATACAGCTAATCCCAGCCTAACACATCAAGCTTTCAGGCTAACTTGAATACCTAAAATGGTAAATATTATTTTATTTTATTTTTTTAGTCATTTTCAATGTCCATCTTAAAAAATTAATTTTTCAATTATATCTAATTTTAATTTAATTTTATTAATAATAAAATGAAATTCGGGTATTTAAACTAAATTCATTTGGATTTAAGCTTCGCCCGAATTTTTTCAAGCAGCTTGAATAAGTTTAAAGTAAAGAAAATTGTTTAAACTCCCAAACCCAATCTTAAGATTTTTCGCGTTTATTCAAGTTAACCCATCGGGCTTTGTCCAAATAACCAGCTCTATTAATTAGCAACTTGAGACTTAAAATTCAAAAGTATTTATACAGAGTTATTTTTCAGGTATTGTTATACAAGCCAAAGAAGATCACCGTTTGTTTGCCTTTGACAATAATTTGTAACCTTCCGGTGGCTGGGATTATAAAACACCCTTGGGAATGCTTGTTTTTCTCACAAGAGAAAAAGCAATCAAAAACAGAAATTGTTGATCTCAGCAACCCACCCTTGATGGAGGAAATTGCTATCCCTTGTGTTGCAGAACTCTCAAACTCTGGAATCTGTTTCTCACCTACTAATAATGGAGCAATTCACAGCATCAGGTTTGATGAAGAAGCAGCCACACTTCACCTTCCCACAATAGCCATAGACATCAACAGTCAAGTGCTGCTTAGAAACTTGGTAGCTTATGAAGCCTCAATTACGCATGCAGTGGTGGGCCACTTGTTTTCACAAGATACACAGAATTGATGAATGGGATTATAGATTCTGAGGAAGACACAAAGATTCTGAGAGAAGAAAGGATTGTTTTAAACCACTTGAACAATGATGAACAAGTGGCTAACCTGTGGAATGGGATGAGCACGTCCATATAAATTGACAAAAGTACCATTCTTGGATAAGATCATTGAAGATGTGAACAAGTACTACAATGGCAGGATGAGGGTTGAAACTTGGAGACTTATGAAGCTTTATGTGTTTGCCTCATGGCAGTTTCTGACATTTCTAGTTATTGTATTGATCTTGCTCTTGATGTTCTTTCAAGCTTTCTGCTCTTTTTATGGATGCAATCGCAGGAACCATACCAAGACAATTAGATGATTCAGTAGTGGAGTAATAAGTAAGACTCATTTTTCTCCAAGCATCTCATATCTTCTATATAGTTACAATCTACTGTGGTTGGACTTAACTGGTTGCATGCTTTGGTTTTATGACCTAGTAGTTCATTGCTATGTGAAGTTCTTCATTGATATTCATTTTGGATTTGGTTTAGTTTATAATGATTGCCATTAGTATTGGAAACTTATTTAGTTGAAATTAATAAGTTTAAACTCAAAGTTTGCAAAAAAAAAAGAAAAGAAAAGAAAAGAAAGAAAATTTCTGATTCTGATCATAATCATTGCCATAAATTGATTGAAATTTCTCTTTTAAAATGATGGAGAAAAATTACTCATGGATCGAGTCTAACAAAGAGCATACATGGTTCAAAAATAGAAATAATAGGCAAATATAAGTGACCTTAAGGACCAACTAAGAGGACAGGAAAAACAGTGAATAATAATTCATAAATTATCACCACAAAAAAAAAATAAAGATTTTAACGTTGAGTTTTGGTGGAGACTTCTAATTATCACTGTAGTGAAGTTTAAGCTTTACTCAAAATTCTTGTTGCTCGAATTTAAATTTTCCCTTTGTTCTTCTATTGCTTTAGGCTTGTGATAATTGTTCTTGGACATTAGAACACTAAATTGGACCTTGCGGCAATATTGCGTACGGATTGGATCAGATCCGATCATGGATTTGGACTTGCTCATGGTGTTGGCCTTCACTCTTTGAGTGAAGGGTTGAATAAACTAATGGTATGTTTACATTAATGGGAACTTAAATTTAAATCAAATTTTTTACTTGAATGCATAAAAATTTATAGATTTGAAAATTCATTTTTTAATTTTTTTATTTGTAATTTCAAATTTCATTTACAATCTGGTCATTTAAAATTCTATTCACTTTAAACCTTTTATTTTCTTTATGTTTTCATTATTGGTGCCTCTCTTTACTCTTATATATTTTTTCAACCTTTCATTTTTATTTCTCATCAATTGAAAAATAGAAGTAAGCTAATTACTTGTAATTTTTCATTTTCATTTCAAATTTCAACTTTGAAATGCAAGATTTTAAATTTAAAATCAAAATCTATCAATTCAAACGTTACGGGGATCTCATTTCTTAGGCATGCAATATATTGTGATCTTAAATCAAATATAAAGCTTGAATTATGAATTATTGTTTGCGTAGACTGCTACTTGTAATCAGCTTAAATAAGCATTGTTGGCTTATTAATTAGTACGACATGCTATTTTTACATGAGTTAAATATGACTTTGAAAATTATTAAAACGTTTTATTGGCTTAACCCAACCTTCGTGGCTTCACAATTAAAGCTCCATCTGTAAATACTCAGACAATAAACACACCAAACCGTAAAGATTTTTGCGAAATAATTTCTTTTTACCGTATATTAGTCATAGGCATGTTAACAAAAAAATATGAGTGTATAATTAAAACGAATTTGAGCAGTTTCTATTCCAATTATTTAGTAGGAAAAAAAATTTGGTAAAAAAAAATATATGAGTGTATTATAGAAGAGCGAGCGCAAACATATATGGCCTAAGAATGAATTTAACTGTGAGAAGCAAGCTCTCTATTAAAGGGTGGGAAAACAGTTTAGTTAGTGGTGAAGTTAATATTCTTTGTTTTTCATGAAAGAATCAATCTTGGAATTGTAATAAAATATATTTAACTATTATCTTTAATTTAAATATGATATGTCTTTTGATGTGGATATATATATCTATATATATAATGTTGGATAATAGCAAGGATTTTCATCAATGTTAATCACAACTCTAATGACTGATTCTTTAATTAATTTAAAAAATATTCATAAGGCCTTCGGCTCAAGCTAACCATAATTTTAACGACCAGAACTTATGTTTTATTTTAATTTTTTCCCCTCTTTACTTGAGCACCTTGCCTTCACAATTTAACAATCTTCAAAATTCTTGGTCAATTAAGAAGTTCAATTACATCATGAATATTTGGAATATCAAAGGTGTGGGACCCTCCAAAAGCCGAGTCTCCAGTTATTGATTAGATCATGATGGGATAGATTTTCATATAGTAGTAAGATTAGAAACGATACAAATATTTGGGTTCGGGGGTGGGGTGGAATTTAGAACAGCACAGCAACGAAATCATAATTTCAAATGACTTCATTAAGATACAAAGCTGAATAAAAGAAAAAGAAGATGAACAACATAATCCATCAACAATTCATCCCTTGACTAAAGCGTGAAATTCAACACAATGATGTGATCCTTTATATAGATGACATGCTAATATTCCAATAGAGTTAAATAGTAGCTAGAGCTGTTGATGACAAAAATGATGAATAGTTGTGAGAAGAATATATAAAATGATGGGAATAAAGTGATAAGAGTTTGATCAGAGAAAAGCTTCTTAGATTCTCTATTACTGGACTGGGGAATCTTGGAGAAAATAGCTCTTATGAGATCAGTGTAGAGAGGGAACTGAGAAACACCAAAAAAAGTAATAGGCAAGATAGTCATAGCATAGAGTGAGAAAACAACCAGCTGCAGGTGGCCCCTGAGCAAGAAGAAGAATGCGGAAGAGAAAGAAACAAAGACTGAAGCGATGGAAACGAAGAGGCTAATCAACCCCAAAAGAAGTTTGAAAGGCAAATCTTTCCCAAAATCTTGAGGTTGCTGGCGGAAAGTGAGGATGGAGAGGAATATGACAAGAGAGGTGATGGAGCAGCAGAGAGCCAGGAGGGATGTGAAAGCAAACAAGTTGAAAGCCGGGTGACATTCTAGGTAAGGTTTGCTGGTCTCCTCCTGAGTACCGCCGGGGAAAGTGGTGGCCATGGCGAAGGCCACACCGGCAATAAGCGCAGCCACCACGGAGCATGACTCCGACATACTCTTCAGACCACAATTTAAGTCTTTTTTTAATTAATTTACATTGTTCAAAAAAAAAAGTTGGTTAAAATTTTGATTTTCTAAAAATTTTCACATCTTTTTAATCATGTCCTTGAGTTGGTTAAAATATAACTTTTGACTTATTCAAAATACCTTAATTAATTACCCAATAAAGTAATTGTGTAACTAGGAAAAAAAATCTATTACACTTATCTAATGCTGTATATTTTAAATTAAGTAATACTTCTAAATATATCTTATATTATAGTTTAAAGGGAGTAGTTCTAAGTTGATCAACACTGAGACTTTCTTCCCCACAAAATCTATAGAGGAGAGAATCACCTTTATGTTGTGAAATGTGATTTTTAGTCAGAATTAATGCTGGAGAGTTACCTTGTAGTTTGTCTTGACCCGCCGTGACACTTTCTTCTCAACTGCAATGTGAAAAGTGTATAGCATCAATTGGATCCAATTCAATGGTGGGTCCGGATTCGACTTTTAGAAAATTTTTTCAAATTAAAGGGAAGAATGAAAAATCTTGACTTGGCATTATTTTTTTTTTAATGAGGTCCTTCTAATTACTTGTCATTCCCTCAAATTAAAGTGTTGCCATCTTGCCATCCATGATATATAGTGATATTACGCACACTAGTTTATTATATGAGGCTATTTTCTTGATTGTAATAAATTGTTGTTAGAAAGACTAAGTTTTTTTTTTGTACCAACAATTAGAAAGACTAAGTTTAAGTTAGAGAGTTCTTAAGTTGATCAATATAGAGTTTTTTTGCCTTCAATATCTATAAAGATTAGAGAAGGTGATCAGAAATACCTTTATGCTGTTGTGATTTAGTTTTTGTTTTTTTTTGTTTTTGTTTTGCCAATGTTGTCATTTAGTTATAATTAAAGATTTCCAAGTTTAAAAATTCAACTCTGATAATAATATTAATGGTAGAGTAACGACCTTTTAATTTGGGTTGATTCATAGTTTGTTTTCTTTTCAGCTGCATTTATCCAATATTAGAGATGAAAGTTATTACTCATATATCTCTCTCATTTCCGAAAGTATAGAATATTAGTAAGATTAAATAAAAATCACGAGCCCAATCAGCCAAAATGAAAAGATCAATATCTCCATGAGATAGAATGATGGGTGAAAAGTGAAAATCCATTTTGGCCGTCGGTCTTCCTAGCAGATTTGGGTATATGATCAAGGGTTTTGACATTTGCTTCATCTTTATGCCTCCAAAGTTCATCCAGTATTCGCACCAAACATGCTTTTCTTTCTTCCTCCGACAACTCCTTGATAATCAGTAATTAATATAAACAGCCACAATTCCATATAACAGAGAATTAATTAAAAACAGCATCAATTTAAAAAAAAAAAAGGGTCAATTTTAGGTAGAGAAAGAGAGAGTACTGTACCGAAGGCTTCAAAAACAGGCCAGGTAATAAAACAGTTGAACGCAGTCATGAAAATGTCACAACATGTCCAATAATTTGTTGGAACAACATTTTCATATTCATAGATGTGGTCACTGGGTTTTTCTGTATCCGCTATGCTTTCGGGAAGAGCTACGACAAAACATGAACTTTGTTTAATTTTCAGATCATAATTATAAAGCAAAATTAAGCTAAACAAAATACTTTCTTTTCATAAACATGAACTTGCCAGTCTGCTGGGATTTTGACGGATGGTAGGTGCTCCTCAATGGTTTCACGTATATATCTTCCGCATGAAATAGGAAATTATATA